ACAGCAGTGAACACCGAGCCTTATTACACTGTGACAAAAAGAAACAACCGGGCACGTCTTTAAGTGACAAAGATTTTCTTTGCTCCTCACAAAACGGGCAGTTGATGACGGTGAGTCGGTTTCTTTCCCGTTTGAAAAGAAAAAGGAAAACAGAGTTTTACAATCGCATTCAGGAGCTGGAACTTCAAGAGAGCTTTCGGATACAGCTCGGATGTTTTTGGAGATGCTAACAGCCTCCGTGATAAAGCACAAACGAATCCTGTCACTGGCGAAAGTTCACAAATATCAATAGCGCAAATAAATAATGTTTCATTTTCACTATTCAAGAAAAAGCATTCGGTGTGCAGGACATTATCAGTGATTAATTTACTGTCGTCTTTTATCATGTCTGAGAACAGAAAACAAAAAATACCGCTCTGTGCTGTATGAGTCCCTTAAAAAAAAAAAAAGAAGCCGAACATAATAATACGCCATCATAATATGCATCTAGACCTTCTGCATCTAGAGTCAGACCTGCTTTCACCACTTTCATTTCTTCAGCATGTCATCCAGCACTTCATAGCTGCCAATCAACATCAGCATCTCATTAGATGAGTTAGAAAATGTTCACTTATTTTTTTGTGTTTATTCTGCTTTAAAATCAAGCAAAGTCAACAGGCTGGGCTGGTGACTGTATTATAATTGCACTTTAAATGATCTGGTTGGTAAAATCCTTCAGGCTGCGGAAGCTTTTGTGGTCGCTTCTCTGGGCTGTGAGTTAGAAATGGTTGGGAACCTCTGCTGTAGAGGATGTGTTAACTAATCTTCACCTCGAAAGTCAACATGACATGTAATTTAATTATCCAAACTTTTGCATATGACTGTTTATTAAAGTATACTGATGGGCTGCAATGTATGGACAAAACACTGGGCCTCAATCACCAACCGTTCTTAAGAAATTTCTTCTTAAAATCCACCTCTGCAGTTTTCAAAGATTCTAATATTCACTGATGTTCTCTTATGTGGAATTTGTTGTAGTCTGTTGTTTGGAGTCTACACACACTCAAGAGCATAAGAGGCATGATGAACCATTAATGCGACATTGTTAAAGATTCGTGTGTATTATTTTAACCAAATTATTTGTATTTGCTGTATCATTTGAAGGTGATCATGATTTATACAAACAACTACAGAATAAAGATCAAATTCTGTGATAGGTTAGAGGTTCATTTGCATATTGCTGCCTCTGCAAGATCAGTATTGCAATGGCCAACACTGCAATCATGCATTAACAGACAATATATTGTGCCGCCCTTATACAGTGCAGATTGTTGGTACTCATTAGTACAGTGTTGTTTTGTCTATGCACTTTGAACTGAAACAGTAAGGTTAAAGCTGAGCTTATTATTTATATATATATATATAAAAATATATACACCGATCAGGCATAACATTCTGACTATATAGGTGCACTTTGTAGTTCTACAGTTACAGACTGTAGTCCATCTGTTTCTCTGCATACTTTTTTAGCCCCCTTTTACCCTGTTCTTCAGTGGTCAGGACCCCCATGTTCCCTCACAGAGCAGGTACTGTTTGGGTGGTGGATCATTCTCAGCACTGCAGCAGCACTGACATGGTGGTGGAGTGTGTGTGTGTGTGTGTGTGTGTGTGTGTGTGTGTGTTTGTGTGTTGTGCTGGTACGAGTGGATCAGACACAGCAGCGCTACAGGAGTTTTTAAACACCTCAGTGTCACTACAGTCTGTAACTGTAGAACTACAAAGTGCACCTATATAGTAAGTGGAGCTGATAAAATGGACAATGAGCGTAGAAACAAGGAGGTGCTCAAAATGATATGCCTGATTTGTGTGTGTATATATATACGCACACATGTAGATGCATCATTAGTTCATGCAGTCTATAATGACTTTTGGTCCCAAGACAGCTGTGATTCCAACCAACATAGATGTAAATGCTGTCAAATTAGAGCAAAGACCTCATGGTTTATGTTTCATTAGAAGTCCAATGTGCTGCATAGCCAAAACACTGTCTACATAAGTACAGATTGCACTATACAAATTTGCAGGATTACAGTGCATTTAGCACACGCTAAATTTATAGCTAAGTTCATTTTCAGCCACCAGGTCTTCCACAATGTCTAGAGCTAGTATTATGGGAAATGGGCTGACAACAGTAAATCTGAAGTCTTTGTGCTTATTTGAATAACTGGTACAAGAACAGAAGCCTGTGAGTCACAGCAAATGTCCCCACGATAATAGTAACAATCAGAGACAGCACTGACCCGATACCAGGTATCAGCAGACATTTCTGGATCAGTTATGTGAGAAAAAGAAAGCCTGAAATAGCCCATGTGCACATTGTGTGATGTGATGATATAAGCTATGTATTTCTTCTTGTGTGGTAGAAGAGCGTATCAATAGTTTGAGCATAGCCTTCTTTTAGATGGTCATCTTAAGTGAAGCTCAATAATAGCTCATTTACAAGCTTAGTAGTTTGGTATTGGTCGATATTCAGGGTTTCACTATCAGTACTGGTATTTGAATAGAAAAAGTGGAATCAAATCAAATCACGTTTATTGTCGCATCACGTTTACACAGGTGCGAAGGTGCATGAAAATCTTTGGTGTGTAGCCCCCCTGTAGTACTTGAATTAACAAAAAATAAAAATGTAAGAAAAGAAACAAATTCCATATGTGCATTATGTGAGCCTGAGGTAGATAAATAGATGAGATGCAGGTACACAGGGGATAGAATATAGATATATAGGTATTCCAGATTACAAGATTTGGCTAGAAGATGCACAAGATGTCAATCTATATGTGCAGGTATAGTAGGCTAGACAGAAGCCACCTTTACTAACAATAGTATGGAGTTGTGTGTGTGTATATATGTACATTTATTAAAGGGACACTCTGGCCAAAATTATAAATGAAACCATCTCTACATCTGTTGTAATGATTAATCACTTTGTCTCTAGAGTGAGATTTTCTGGTTTAAAGACTAGGAAAACACTCTTCTGATGATATATTCTCTAATATGATATATTCTCTAAAGGAGAAACATCTGAAAAACTAGAACTGCTTTGGGGTGATTTCTTTTGGTGCAGACTTTTTTTCTTTCATTTTTTAACATTAACTGTAGAGCACAGAGGGAAAGCAGATAGCTAAGTTAGCTTGATAATTAACTTCAGTAACCGTCTTCATATCATCAATACAATGAGAGAATGGATTACTCAAATAACAGAAATATCATCAAATGAACAGGAAGGCAAACTAAGATACAGTTAGCAAGGTTGCAACCTGACTGTCTAGATGCCACTTCAGTTTGGCTTCTTTTTTCCTGGCTAAAAGGGGAAAGCTTGTCTCTGCTGTACATATTATGTTAAACAAAGATTGAATTCCTGTTTTATTTACAATTTTGTTTGACAACCAAGGTAGCCAGCAGATCATTAGGCAGGCTGGCAGTCAGGACTGGTTGACGCCACAGGAAATCCCAATGGTTCCCAATGATGAATTAACAACATGAAAACAATATAAAATTGTGAATTCTGTCAAATCAATGAAACTGAGTTGTTATGCTACAGAATGCTGCATAACATAAGGAATAACATGTGAAACTCTAGTTTAGGCTGTAGTGCCCATTAAACCCTAAGCCAAAAAGTCTTATAAAGCAGTTTCACAGTGTGATGAAGTAACATTTGCACTCTGATTTAGTACAAATTTAGCTTTTTAGTTCTGCCAGTTATTGAACAGAAATATTCAGTATAAAAGATGAAAGCAATGTGCCAAAGAATAACACAGTGCCTTGATTCGATTTGCAGGATGGTTATATTTAAATCCTTTGATTGGCTGCCAAAAATATAAACAGGGTAAAAAAATAATAATAAATAAAAGGTCACTGACCCTGGATCTGCATCTGCTGTGATCTGGTACGCTGACTCTACAGTGGACACCGCAGATGTTAGTGTATTTCTTAAACAGTACATATTGTGTCAGTGGTGACATGCTCCATCTTACAGGGTTAAAAGCTTTTAGGTTTTTCCAGTACAATGACTCCACATGGAGCCTTTGTGCACCCATCATTTACATACAGCACTGTGAAAAGTCAGAGACCACCCTTCGTTTATTGTAATTCCAATCAAAATGGCCATTATGAGCAAGTTATTCATTTTTCCGGAGATATTTCTGAGGCGATTAGATATAATATAATCCACTTGCATCACGAAGGATAAAGCCAATGTAAACAAGTGGAAAACAGGAGTTTTTAAAACTTGAGGTATAGAGAAAAAGGGGCTTCTAAAAACTGCACCAGACCTGGCAGACCACCAAAACAGTCCCTATCAGATAAACAGCACTTAAAGCGTTTATCTCTGAGAGAGAGGAGAAAATCAAGCTGCTTCAGATCTGAAAACATCCACAGGTGTTTCTGTCCATCCTTCCACTTTGAGAAGACGACTTGGCGCAGTGGGTCTGAAAGGATGTGTAGCTGTCAAGAAGATGTTCAGAACAAAGGTGTTCGCAGAACAATGGACCGTCCACCCCAGAATGCAGACATCAACATCATTGAATGTGTCTGGGATTACTTGGATCATAAGAAGCAGAAAATGCAAAAAACTTCCGAGACTGAACTTTGGAGGTGTGGAAAAATATCCCTGTAGATTTCTTTGAAAAACTAAAAGTGAGGCTCACAAAAAAATGAAAGCTGTAATGAAAACAAAGGTGATTTTTTTTATTTATTTTTCCTGATGCTGAAAAATTAATCATTTTTTGGACTAGAAATTAATTCAATGAAGGGTGGTCTCTGACTTTTAAACAGTACTGTACTTGTATGTTTTAATACCAGAAGCTTGGCCAACTTGATTAATAATTAGAATGTACTTAGGTTACCTGATGTAGGTACCATCAGTGCAAAGCTGTGCACCCCCAACAACTAGGTTTGAAGCCATTCACTCAGAAATCCAGCCACTTCCAGCACACATTTAACACAAGTCTCAGCTGCCATACCTCCACTCCAGCCTCATAGTCAGATCCATCCAGCAGTGCGACTTTAACAGGCACTGTCTTTGGTCTTTTGGAGGATTTCTGTGGGGATCTGGACACCCTGCTGGGCGTCTTCTCAGAAGAGTCGTCTGTGTCTCGGTGCTCGTCTGACATCTTTGAGTCATGATCCTAGAAACAAACGAAAGCGTTTCAAGAGCACTGGGTATGTCCTCGTTGTTGTAACAAAATCTCTTATGTCTGGAATAAAAAAATCCATTCACTTTGATGTTTCTTTCCAAGTTGTTTTGGACCATTTTCATTGGTCCTTTTTCAATTAAATCATGCTTTTAAACGGTGCAATAATTAGGCTAAAAAATACAGAAAAAACAGTTCTGAGGTTTTGATGGGACAACAATATGAAAAGCGAACTCTTTGAAGGATTTAATGAGAGAGGATCTCAATATTATCACACTGTGCCTCATTAACTGAATGATGGTGTTAGTATCAAGAACATCAGTAACATCAAGACGTGCAGAAAAACGTGCTATTTACATAATGTGTCATACTTCATGAAATTTTGCATGAAAGATGCAGCATGTCGTGTTGCATTGGATTGCACTATGTTGCATTCAGGTCTAAAAAGCCCAACCTGATTGGCTCTTCTGCTGTCTCCCTCCATGGCATACTTCACATCTGAAGCTGACCCCTTCTCCGACATTCTGATCGCTCACAATCCTGGGCAGAAAGAAAACGAATGTTGAGGTTAATTGTCACACATACAACACTACCACCAAATTTCCTGCCCTCTCAGCAGGATCAATACAATCCCCTTTAGTGCAAGACTGTCAATAACGTCCACGCTGCATGCTGGAAAGAGGAAAAAAAGGACCCGTAAGGCAGCCTCACCCTCACCTTCACCGAAAAGCAGCGGTGTGCACACACAGAATGGCAGCATGTGCTGTAAGACACTCAGCTCCGTCCTCACAAAAGAAACCTCTGCACATGCTGGCACATACAGAGTATGTATGGGTGAGGTTGTTGTTCTGTCATTTCTATTTGAAATCCTTGAAATCTTTGCCATATCATTTGCAATGACGTCAACGCTCATACCTTTGTGTTCTGACATGCTCAAGAAAAATACTCTCCAGTGGAGATTAAACCTGCTAATGTTCAAGGATGTTGTATGTTGTAGAGCAGGGGTGTCAGATTCAACCACTAAAGGGGCCGTATTAAAAAATCTCAACAAATCTGTGGGCCAGGAAAAATTTCATTTTTAATTAATGTTGTGCTGTAACCCAAACTGGCCATTGTTTATTCAAAATACGCAAAAAATGTTATGCCTGACACTGATCAGGCATAACATTATGACCACCTCCTTGTTTCTACGCTCATTGTCCATTTTATCAGCTCCACTTACTATATAGGTGCACTTTGTAGTTGTATAGTTACAGACTGTAGTCCATCTGTTTCTCTGCATACTTTGTTAGTCCCCTTTTACCCTGTTCTTCAGTGGTCAGGACCCCCATGGACCCTCACAGAGCAGGTACTATTTGGGTGGTGGATCATTCTCAGCAACTGCAGTAACACAGAAACTACATTTATCGAGAGACGTCATGGGTCTTATGAAAACGCCTTAAGTTCTAACTTCTGACTATAACATTCTGACTATAACATGTTTAGAGAGCAGTGATGAGTAATATTTGTTTATTTGAGCTTGAGCTGTTTCTGTCGTCAGCTGGGGGGGCTACTAAAATCAACAGCTAAGAAACCAAATCGGTCATCAGTAAATTTGCCCATTTTAGGCTTGTACTTTAATAGCTGCACACAATGAGCAAAAATTGCTAATTGCAATTATTTATATGGCTATTAATCATCAGTTTTACTTCACGATTGTGACAGACCTTAGCATCACACATAAAAACTGCTGTCATGAAGAATACAAACAGTAGAAATTAGGATGTTTAGGCCTTTAAGTTTATTCCAGAAGTGATGCTGAATGCCAGCCAATCAGAATGTGTCTGTAATGATTTTGTTTCACACAGCAGTCCTGAGTGCCAAATGTCACCTGAGTATTTTGTACATGCTTGTATGAGCCTGCAACTCACAGTGACTGGCCAAAAATAGTCTCAAAGCTTAAAACGGCACATCATGCTTGTCACATGTTGCTGCCATAAAGGGTTATATTGATTAGCTGTTTGCAACTGACTGGCTGTTGTGGTGATCAGTGCAGCCCTACAAAAACCACAACAAAGGCCCAATCCCATTTCTTATTTTTACCTCTACCCCTTGTTTTCGAGTGTCACCCTAACCCCTTGGAACTGAGTTACAAGGAGTAGTGGTTGAAATCTTGCCCTACAAAATGGGACAACCATCACTGCTTCATTAACAGCTACCAGCGCTGCTCTGTAGGCGACCCTGCCAGTCTGCAGTGACAGCAGAGGAGGGTAAAGTTCAGCTCCTCACTGCTGGGCTTTAGTTACATTTAGGGAATCATATGCCTTCAAAGAGGGGGGCAATTATTTATTATCACCCACCCCTAATTCTTCAGTGATATGAAGCTGAAGTCAGATATTCACCAGCTTCTTGTTCAAAGAAAAGGACCATAATACATTGAAACGACATTAAACTAAGATAATATAACGGTTAGTGTAATTTTTTAATGGAGAAAATTCTCACATTTGTGTGTTTCTTTGGTCTCTTGTTGTCCGTCTTGCCAGTTTTTCTTTTTTTCTCATATCACTCTGTTTGGAGTCTCTGAAAAACCTCTGTTTGGAGGGTCCTGTAGCCCCAACACTTCACCCTCCCCCTCTATCTCAACAAGAATCAGGACACCCTACCCCTAGACGTGAACGTGCAAAACAGAGGGCTAAGGGTTAAGTCTTGGGGCGAGGGGTGAAATGGGATTGGGCCAAAGTTTGTGTAATCAGGAGATTGTGAGTTTGTCTCCTGACAAAGAAACAAACAAAACGGTTAGTATTTATAGGTGCATCATCAGCCACGTTTTCCCTGATACCAATAAACTCAATATTGTCAATATTGGACGATGTATCGGTCAGGCTTTACCCCCCCACACACATATTCAAACTTCCCTCTCAGTCCAGTCTTAATAAAACGCACAACCTTGTGCTCTCGCTGACATTTAAGTCACTCCACAGATTAAAACTCATCTCCACGACCAAGCAAGCTGCATTTTCCTTATGTGCAAACGGACGCACTGGCTGCTTTAATTAAGGCGGGCAGTCACTGAGAGCCCTCATCCGTCTACTGAAGAACGCACAGCACAATGGCACACTGTGAAGAGGGAATGGTTCACAGAAAGCTAACCCAGTGGCACTGAGCCTGAGCAATGTTGCGAGGCACGTTCTTCCAATCTCTCCCTCTCTCTTCCTCGCTCTCCCTCTGATGCTATTAGAAGTGATGCCATAAATTACATTAGCTCAGAGCCCTCTGGTGCGGCAGATGCCTGCATCAATGAGAGTGCAAGACAACTGCCTTCTGTTCTATGGAACAGGACAGGAAGAGAAAGAGAGGCAGAAGGAGAGAGTATATAAACATACCAAGTTCCAAGTAACTTTTGCCTGTACTTTTACATTTTTCATCATGCATTTATTATCTTTTATCACACATAGACAAAAACAAGCATTTACACACTTACTAGCATTGTCTTTGCTGGAGGGACGTTAAATCACATCTCTGCCAGCCATTCGGTCTTGTTTTCCACCAACATATGGTCTCCAATCATAAAAGCAAACGATTCCCATCCCATTCCAAGGACAACAAAATATGATGACCCACTAATGATTTAATAGCAATGAATTTACAAGCTGAGATGAGCAACACGCCATATGACTAATATCAATGCATTAAAATGTAATTTACATGGAATGGAGCTGCACAAAAGAAAAAAACCTTGTTAATAAAAATAAAGAACCCAGGTTTTCTGTGTGCTGATAACTTTATGCTAAAAGAATGTCTAAAAGGCCGCATTTACACCCCTGGTCTAATTATGTGTTTTGTTGAGTGAACACATCCTCTACAGGGAACAAACGTAAATCTGACATTTTTCTGTAAATTCTAGTACACAATCTCTATTTATTTGCTAAGTTTAACCTCTTATTCTCCAGGGTATATTTTGGTTTTTCCATCTGAATTTACATGACCAAATCGTAAGGCAAATTATTCAGTAACTGTATGAAATAAATGTACATTTTTATTTTATTTATTTATTTATTTATTTTTTGTAAAAGCTCCCCTCAAATTAACAGAAAATGTGTGTTATGATCATACACATGTTGCTATATGCTTACAATTTACTGCTGAAAGCCAAAAATCTTAAGACGCTCTTTGTATTATTTTATAAAAATAATTTTTACAGAGCAGATCACTGAAGAGACGCCATCTGTTTATAGTTTATAGCCCAGATTTGTGGAAAAATGGGTCGACTTTGAGTAGAAAAAAAATTGTGAGTTCAGCTTCTTTTATTATAAGGGTTTAAAATTACATCACCCATCTATTTGGCTGGAAAGAAGACAGTTACAGCTCTCATATGACACCCACCTTTAGAATGTAGCTAATGAAATATGAAAGTTATGAAGAATATGATGAAGTGCTTTTTGGAACCAAGGAGTTGAAGAGGTTAACAAAAAATAAATAAAATAAAATGTGATATTAATAAAACGTAACATTTAAATGTGTCATTACTTTTGCACAGACTACATTTTATGTGTTATTTTGTTTTCCAGTATGTTAAATCCAACTAATAAATAGTAATTTTGCATTAAAATGTGTTCCCTGTAGAGGATATATTAACTTATTTTCACTTAGAGAATCAACAAAACATGTCATTTGACCAGGGGCGCCCAAACGGATGGCATGTCTTGGGTGATCTGATTACAAGTGCTCAGCCCTTGAGGTGTGAATGGGGTCCAATGTGTCTTGGAAACACATTGTGATCCAGTCATTCAGACCACCTTCGGAGGTTGTCAGGGACACAAACGACCACATAAAATTTGTAGTGCGAACACTAAACCGTTCCAATGCCTCCCCAACATCAATGAAGGACCGTCTTAAGCAACTGCATCATCACAGCAAAGACTCAAACAGACGCGTAGCTTCTTTCTTCATTTCCTCTACTGTTTTTATTACATTAGCAATACAGGCAATTTAAACTTTTGTAACAGACTATATATTTACACAAACAAGGACATGAAAAATGACTGACACTGTAAATGTGCACAGAAACCTTCCACCAACCACAAAGTCTGATCATGTGGTCATATGAGACTTGTGGCACGGGTACTCAAGTATTCAGTTAGCAGTCTGAGGTGCCAGCATATGAATATTAACCTCTTATTCTCCAGGGCATATTTTGGTTTGTCCGTCTGAATTAACATGACCGAATCATAAGGCAAATTATTCAGTAACTGCATGTAATAAATGCAAATTTTTATATTATTTATTTATTTTATTTTTTGTAAAAGCTCCCCTCAAATTATACTTTTTATTTTTTATATTATGTTTCTAGTACAAGTGCTTTAACATGAGCATGTTACCAAGAACACATTATTAAAGACGTGTCTGAGGTAGAAGTAGTGCGACAGTGTATGCAGTAGTTTAGCTTATCAACTCAACTGAAGAGGCAGCCTCTGTTACTTATCCAATACGAAAAACCATGCCAGTGTCTAAGGGGTGAATAATTTCTGCGATTGCCATTTAAACACGGCTCCTTTCTTTAA